GTAAAAATTGTGTCCTTTTCCATTTCTAACTGTAGTGGTCACTTCCTATATTCCATGGCATGGAATCTTGTTTCTCTAGCAGTATCACATGTAGGTTTTATATTCTTAAATTCACAGAGGAGGTAGACATTGTTATGTTCCAGATCAGTCTTCGTTCAGCCTCACATGTGGATCATTCTGTAGGGCAGTCCTGAGTTCCTGTCAGCCCAGTGAATGGGGCCAGATTCAGACTTTTCACACATGCGCACACACACAGAGAGAGAGAGAAGGTGGCGGTGGTGGGGAAGAGATGGGAGGATATTTTTGCCTAAATGGTATCATTCTCTACCAACTGTTTATAAAATAACTTCTATTTCTGATCAGTATAGACATCCTTTCACATTAAAGAGCACAAATGTCCTTTAATGGATGTTTGGTAGTTCCTGTATTGTGTGTTGTGATCTTCCCTAGCTTTTTTACTTTGAGCTTTTGCCATTATAAACAAGATCATAATATACAGTTTTTTCAACTAAAAAACTTTAAATATTATCTTCAATACTTAAAAATAGAGGAAGTAGTAGAGTATTATTCGAGATGATATATATCCATGTAAAGTATCATTCATACAGATAGATAATAGATTAGTATAATTAGCACACAAATGAATTTCCTTTGTATTTTAACCAATAAAAATAATATCAACATGAAATATGCTTTATTCTTTTGAGGGATGAGATAAATATTGCATTTATATCCATTATTTAATTAATGTTCTTGATAAAAATGCTCTTCATTCATTCAACCATTAAATAATTAATGTGCACCAGCCACGTACATAGAACTGGAGGGAATGATGGATGAGCATATAAGCAAATGTATGACTATAGTGTCAGATAGTGATAAATATCTTCCTGTGACATAGCTCTGCTTTATTTTTTTTTAATATATATCTTCTAACAAGGAAACTGGGGCTTAGAGAAAGGAGTGCTAAAGACTTCCCCTGGCCATGTGGCTCTAAAGCATGAGTGCTGAAGTACACGTCTGCACTCACAAATAAAGACCGTGTGAGACTCTTACTCAGTGTCTTACTGCCTTGTCTTGCCCGGGGTATGTTTGTCATTGGATTCTACATAAAGAATCTGTGGATAATGTGAGGATGAATTGACCTTGAAGATTAGAAATATTGTCCAACAATAATATTTTTAATATCTCCAAGGATAATTTTCTTTTTTCTTTTTTTTTTGCCTGAAAGGTGACTCTACCCACCAAAATTATTAACTGATTAAAAATACTTACTAGCAGACAATCTAAAAAAACTATTAAAAATTTAAATATCATGTAGGGTGAGTCATTAAAACCTGTAATAGTTTAGTTAGATGCAAGTAATTTGTAAAAACAAGTTGTTGATGGAAATTGATATTTGTTTTCATAATTTAAAACAAAGGTTCAATTCCAGTGAAGGGTTCTGTTACTCCTCATATACCAAGACGTCATTTTGGTTCCTATGGCCAGCTTCCGATGCCCTTCTTCAGTCCATTAAATCAAGAATCCTCCCCGCTCTCTCCTGGATGCACCATGTGTGCAGCGCTTCCCAGAGCAAGTGCAGTAAGCGCAGGAACAAACAGCACTTTGCCTTGTTCAGTCTGGGGAGGTGTTTCTTCTCAGGAAATGCTTCCCAAATGATGCGTTTACCCCAATCATTGTACTGACAAATTGCTGGGCTTGTATCTACTTTGTGATTTCTTCACTCATGCTGACTGATTTCTTATTTGTCATTATGTGTAATTTTCCAAACTATAAGATTCAACAGGGATTACCAGGGCATAGTAACATTATTACTAAATTATTATGGTCATGATCATCTCCTCATCCTCTTTCTCCTCCTTTTCTTCTTCTCTCTTCTCCTTCTTCTTCTTCTTTTTTAACCTAAATGTCTTATTCTTTAAAACTGTTGATGATTTTGGAATACAAGGAAGTGAAACAGTGCAAATAGTCGATCAGGTGTCAAAGCCACACAAGCCCATCTGATACTCTGAGTTTTTCAGAAGACTCAGACTTGGACAAATGATTAGCATCCTCCTGTGTCACTGGCTTCAATGCTGTTATTTTGGACTTTAAATCAGTAGTACTGTTGCACTTCTTTGGAGAAGGAAAAGTGCTAACTTCTCTTACTCTTTTTCCTTAATATAAATTAATTTTGTAATAAAAAGTTTTTCGTTTCATGACAAGTAATCAAAAAATTATAGTTAAAAATAAGTTCATTGGCCATCATTTACTGTGGCATTGGATAATTTATGTACTTGAAGGTCCTCGAAAATTCCCCCTGGCTCAGACAGAGTCTCTCCTAATGAAGATGCGCTCGGTGGCCAGTGATGAGCTACACACTATGATGCAGAGGAGGATGAGCCAGGAGCACCCCAGCCAGGCCTCGGAGGCAGAGCTCGCCCAGAGACTGCAGAGACTCATCATCTTGGCTGTGAACAGGATCATTTACCAAGGTCAGAACTCAGTTTTCTCCCTTTCAATGCAGATTTACAGGTTTAAATATGTCAGATGGAGGTGATTAGGTTTGCTTTTTTTAAGACGTTATTTTTTCTCTTCTGGAGCCTTATGTCAGAGACTAATACCCTACTTCTTAATGTGTTAAGTACTAGTCTGTGTTAGCCATTGATTTCAAAACAATATTTTTTTCAGCTTTTCTTTTGACAAAGTAATATATTCATGGGCTATTATTAGAAATAATAAAGAGATCCTACAGTTTTTCCCCATGGAATCTTGCAAAATTAAAATACAGTGGCACTCTCAGTAAGGAGACATGGATATAGTCAAGGAGGACATTTTCATCCCCAGAAAGAATTGCCATGTTGCCTTTTTATGGTCAAACTCACTTTCTTCCTCCTCAGCCCCTATCTACCTCCAATTTACCTTGCATTTCTGTATTTTTACAATGTTTTTAGGAGACAGCCAGACACAGTGATTTGTGCCTGTGGCGATCCCAGCACTGAGGTGGGAGAACTGTTTGAACCTAAGATGTAGTAGCAACAAAAGTATTATAGCTGTGTTCAATGGTGCATACTTGTGAAGACTGAGGCTGTAAGATCACAAGTTTGAGGCCACACACACACAATTATATCAGGACTGATGAGTATTCCCTAACATTATCATTCGATAAGTTACCATTTGGCATATATACCAAACCATCAAGTTGCATACTTTATATATAAAATATAATTTCTTTCAGTAAAATTGAAAAATTAAAGCACCATCAGTGAGTCAGAATAGAACTCTAAAAACCATTCAAGGAGTCTGGAGAGATGGCTCAGAGTTAAGAGCACTTGTTGCTCTTGCAGAGGACCCAGGTTCTGTTCTAGCACCCATATGGTGGCTCACAACCATTTGTAACTTTAGTTCCAGGGAATCTGATGCCTTCTTCTGACCTCTGAGAGCACCAGGCATGTATGTGGTGCACAGATATACATGTAGGCCTAACATTCATGAAGATAAAAATAAAATTTTCTTAAATTTTATTGAAGAGAAATAACCTGAAGAGAAAGCCAGACTCTGCCTAGAAAACAGGGATAAGAGGGGATGAGCACAGGGCACATCTAGAAGGGCACAGGCCTACACTGGAATGCATAATGAAGGTACATGTTCCTGTAAGGCAGGAAATTAGGCTGAAAGGCTGCGCATGTAAGACTTTCAGGGAAAATACATTTTATCTTTATAGGAAGCAGAAGGATACTGGACACAATTTCTAAATTTTAAATGTGAAAATCTCTAAAAGTCTACTAGCAAGATCATAAATGTATGTAAATATAAATTAAGTCTTTTTTAGGATCCAATTATATTTACCATCTGGATAAAACAAGAAAAACCAAGGACACACACATTTTGAAATTATAATGTAAAAAGAGATCACAAAATATTGATTAGGAGTTAAATGAAAGTTTTACTTTTGAAATATTAATGGAAAATCTATTCAACTAGATAGGAGAAAAGCAGTGTGAGCATGGCAAGTCAAGGATACACACTAAGGTAGGTAAGACTAGCAAGATTTAAAAAACCAAACAAACTCTAACAACAACAAATGCTGATATATGGTACTGCAAAATTTAGATCAAGTGGCTCTATTAAAGGAATCAAGCTAGATATGCACATGCTGAGAAAATCTGATGATGTTTTAGAAGTTACACTTAGGGATAAAATGACATTCTAAAGATAAAGGAAGATCAAAGTTGCTTTAATTAAACAGGAACGCAAATGTGAGGAAGTAGAAATTATGTTATAAAAATGAGGTTATTTGTGCCCACATTGTGCTTTCCAGCAATTCTAAAGATAGAAAGAGTGAAATTATGAACTGTTCATTATCAGGAAAAATATTCTTCCTGCCTATAAGGAGCTAAAGAGAAAAGATAAATAAATGGTTTATTCTAAAATGGAATCAAAGTTTTTCTCTTTCTCTCTTTCATCTTGAAAAAGAAGAAAGCATGTTTTGGGGCTGCAAAGATGCCTCAACAGTTCAAAGACCTTCCTGCTTTTCCAGAGGACCTGAGTTTGGTTCCTAGCACCCATATCAGGTGACTCACGACTGCATGTACCTACAGCTCCTGGGACTCCAATGCTCTTCTCTGGCCTCTATCAGCATCTACACATATGTGTGAATACACATAGTGAAAAATCATTTTTACAAAAAAAACCTTTCACATTATTAGAATAGCATATATGTTTTTTTCAAAGACAATTTTAAATCACATATATTTAACATTTACTTGTTCCAACTATAATTGTAGATAATAAAAAACTTCTAAAATATTTATGAATTAATTAATCATTACTCATTCTTGGCAGAAAGCATGCTATCATCAGTAACGTGATTAATTTTTTGTCTTAAAGTTTTACATAGTAGAGTACAGCTGTTTTGATATTTTACAAGAAGCCCTTCAATTTATCAATAAAAGAGAGGGGCTTCTTTCTGAGAAAGCTATAATTAAGATTCTTACCCTAGCAAAGAGAAAAACAAATACACCAGCCCCACCAATCTCATGCAGAATGCCCTGGATGGTTTTACATTCCGTAGGCTGCAGGCTTTTGAGTTGAGAAGGTTCTAGCAAGATGCTCTGGGCTTCCTTTGAGCTGAAGGGTCTCTGGGAGAGCTGAGTTTTCACTTGACCCTTGAGTCGGATCACGGGCTCATAGATGGTGTACTGAGCAGGACAGTAAGCTGTATAAACAACTGAAAGACTTTCCTAAAACACAAACATTTTCCTTTAGTGACAAAACAAATTTTAAAATGTAAGCTATCAACTAGTAAATAAGTATTTCAACATAAAAAGATGCTTAACTAATTTTAATTGTTAAAAAGAGAGTCACCATTCTAAACAAAGATGGGCAGGGAAGCTTAGCTTCTTCCTACAACAGAAATGACAAGCTAATCAAGCTGTGACCAATAACATGAAGTATAGTTAAGGATTTTAGCTTTGATACATTCAGAATAAATATGAGATTAAAATATAAAAAAAGAATTACAACCAAATCTTCTCATTATTCAGAGAATGTTTTATTAGTTCTATAATCAAACTCACATAGATAAGACCTTATCTATTTAATACAGGAGAGCTAAGTCTTCTGTTACATTCAGCTTACTTTTAGCTCCTAGAAATGTGAGAACTCTGGGTTAACTTACCCCAAGTTTTTGTTTGTAAATTTTGGAAATGTTTGTAGGCTTTGGGTTCGAGCTGGTTATTCTTCCCAATGCCATCTTATCACTTAAATCTTGAACTACCTGAGTATGTATGATGAGCTATTTGTTACTATGATGTGACTTTATGTTAAACTAAGCTAAGAAGTACTAAAATACACAGTGCATGTCCAAAGGCTCAGATTTTAAAGAAAGGGAACATTAGATTATATAAATATCAGCCATCATTTTCAACAGATTAAAAAAAAAACACAACTCATTTTTAAGACTATTCTCTCTACCTGCCGTATACCCTAAGAAACTGTTGCATGCCTAAGAAAGAAGAGAACAAAAACAAGATGTAGTTTCAAAACAGTCGAATAGTAATTTTTCAATTATTGATGAATTCTGTTCTAAATCTGGAGAAGAACTATTGCATATAAATGTTCAGGAATAGGAACTAGGAAGGGGCCACTGAGGTAAGACACAGAATGAGAAGAACTTGAAATAAAAGTGGCTATAGGGCTTTATTTATTCCTTTTCTAGAATCTCAGGGTCCACACTATTATAATAATGGGACTGATAGCTTCAGCAGCAGTTGTAGAGACAGGGTATCCCTATATCTAATGACTATTTGAAGAGTTTTAGTGTACAGATCAGACCCCTGCCATCATACCTGATCCTTCAAAACTGCTGTCTTGTAGAACTGATGGTTTGTTTCTTTTCTTTACCTTCTTTCCTCTTTCTGCAGCACTCTCCGGTTCATGGACATACTCTACATTAAACCACAGAGAAACACTAAATCCTTCTGAAAGGTGTGGCCAGCAGTTCTGCCCCAGCAATGGTAGGTGGATTGGGGCTACGTGCCAAGAGGACAACAGCCGAGAGGGAAAACTCTCTCTGTCAGACTCTTTCTTGCCTCGGGAAAGCCGTGCTCTTCTCAATAAGCCTAAGGCTTTACTGTTAAGAATCCCAGGAGACTTTTGTGGTGAGACACCATTGCTTAAACTAGGTGTATGTAGCAAAGGGAAGGTTAGATACTGTGAAGGGCTCATAGTAAAATCACTTTCAACAATTTTCCGAATACCAAGGAGAAGAATTTCCTAGAGAGAAAAAAAAAGCAAGTAAAAGTTTACAATCTTGTAACCAGATCTCTAATAATATCAAAATTCAGGTTATAAGTAAAAAAATACAAACATAACTGTATTGGTAATCTTTTAATTTAAATAGCATATTTATCATATCTTCAAAATTCTAAAGTTTATTTAAGATAAGAATATAGAGATTTAATTATTATATAATCTCTTGATAAATTTGGTTTAAATTTTGGTATTTTATAGAACAAATCTAATATTTATGAGTAGCTTTTAAGTATTATAAATGAAATACAATATCAGGAATTATTTCTATAAAACAGGGTTATTACTTTCTTATGGTATTTCAAAATTATTTTTAAGATTTATTAATGTGTGTGCACGCATGCGCATGTGAACATGCCTGCCTGTCTGAGCAGGTGCCTGAAGAATCCAGAAAATGGGATCAGATCCGTTGGAGCTGCCTGAAGTGGATACCAGTGTCTGAACTCTGGCCTCATGACTGAGCAGCAAGCACTCCAGTTGCTGAGACATCTTTCTAGTCCCATAGCTCTAATATTTTTAAGTGAGGGATACAACCTCACACACTCTCAGATTCCTAAAAGACCAACTACATAAAGCTGAATGCTCAGTTGCTATCCAAGTTATTTCACTTTTTTTTCCCCAGCCAAGGAAAATTTCTATCATTTGTTTTTGGGGAACTAAAGTAAAGTTTTAAGGTTTTTTGGTTTAAATGGAATACAAAAAAGGTAAGAGGTAGAATGTTGAAATGTATATTTAATTAAAAGAGCAAAAATGAAACAGCTAAATTAAAAAGTATAAAAGATTAGCCTAGTGCAATGCCTTACTTGTGCATAAAGTAATATCTAATGTTGACCATGACGAGGGGAAGTGTGCTCAAGGCAAGCTCTAGGAATAATCCATCAACATACAGCCAGCCCTCAATGGCCCACACTGGTGGCCAACAGAGCTTCCATGTGGCCTTGAGACTACAGTGGATGAGGAGGCAGGCAGTGAAGTGGACAGGGCTCTGTTCACCCTGCTTCACAGAGGGCAGTCTCCACATTCTAGATTCATCTGCAGATTCTTCCAGTCAAGGCTGCATTAAAAAATGAGTTTCCTAGCTAAGAGCCACTGAACTATACAGTAATGGGAAGGAAAATATTCAACTAAAAAGAAGATAATGATTCTTTAGAAAAAGAATAAATTCAGGATGATTGTTGTTATTCATGTTTAAATTCTCTTTAGTAATTAAAATCACAGCATTTCCCAAGCACAGAGGTTGGAGCTGACAGAGGACTAAAGGTTACTTGTTAGTCCAAATCAAAGTGAAATGGTTAAGATATATATATATAGATAATAAAACTGAATCTATCAAACATAAAACATGGAACTGGCTAAAACGTAGTTACAATATTAAGAGTTTAGTGATTTACAAATAGTAAAAATACATTCTATTAAAGAATTAGTGAAAATGTAAAAATTATAGCATATTTACTGTACAAGGAGATTTTTCCAGAAATATTCTCAAAAGAAGGGTTAGCTCTTCTGAACATGTTCTTGAACTCATCAGAGATACCAAGAGATCCACCAATACTCTCTGGCATGCTAAATTTTAAAAAGAGGAAAAAAATTAAAGACAGTAACATTTAATTAAAGAAAGAGATAAACAATTTTCATTGAAAGAAATAAACTATTCTCTCATGTGAAATGATTATAAATAATCTAGTTATTAATCATAAATACTGCTAAGAAAATAGCAAGACAATTAGTGGCAAAGGAACCAACACTAATAAAACAACAGATTGTTTAGATTATAACTATCACATATTATTTGAAAAATTAAATGACAGAAATAAAAAATAACAAAATTATATAAATACCACAAGCTATTTATTTTAATTATATTCTTTATTCTACTAAAGAGTTTAGCATAAACAAAAGCAATGGTATACTAATTCATTAAAATTCTTTAAAGTAATAAGTATTTTTATCGATCATTTTATAGTGTTTCAAGTATATCTTTACATGTATGCCTCAGCCGCTCCTCACTCCAAAACAAAAAATATGAATTATTCTCCCTGCTTTAGACATGACAAAAACAATACGATGCAAAACCTAAGATGTATCTTAAAAGACTGGAGCTTAAGACTAGAAATCCTGTTTAAGTAACCTGTTTCATAAAGGCAATGAGCAGACAGAAGAGTTAGCTTTCCCTCTTCCTGCCTCCTGCTTGTAGATCAGATGTAGAAGAGTACCTAGCTACTCTTCTAGAGCCATGCCTGCTTGCCTACTGCCATGTCCCCTGCCATGAGGATCATGGATTCACCCTCTGAAACTGCAAGCCCCCATTAAATGCTTTCTTCTATAAGTTGCTTTGGTCATGGTGTCATGGTGTTTTGCCACAGGAACAGAAAAGGAACTAAGATAAAGGGCAACTGACAAAATTGAAAACTGGATAAAATGTTGAAATAGAATTTTTTAAAACTCGCAGAATATAATACAAATGAAGAGAAGTACATGAGATAAGAGTCATGGTAGGATCCAACTTTAAAGCCCAAGATTACAATTCATATGCAAAAAATAAAAAATAAAAGAGCAAAGAATATGGAGAGGAGAAAATAATTTTTAGAGATAATAAATCTTTGTGATCATGGACCAGTCTTTCCTAGGCTTCAAAGAAAGAACACAGCAACAAAAGCAAGGAAATATGACAACTGATTATAAAGTACACTGGAAGAGCTCAAAATCTCCTAATGCTGTCTTCTAGATGAGTATTGTTGATTTTTATGTTGAGTAATTTAAAATTAAAGTCAGAAGAGCATTCTGGAAATATTAGTTGTACTACACAGGACCAGGTAAAAGAGTTAAATATCACTATTCCTGAATCATCATCATTTAATAGATTATCCGCTGCTGCAAACCAGGCTTTTCTTTAAAACATTTCAAGAAAGAAAAAGCCATGGGCGGGAGACAGTGAGAAAACATGCTGATGCTGAGGCGTCAGTGTGGAAGTGGCTGGCACAGGGGAAGGGTGCTTCTGTACTGCTACTGCCTAGATTTGAAATTTCCCAAAGTAAAATCTCTGAGGGGAAAAATGATTATCAATTATATGTAAGATTATCTAACCTTATTGCATTTTTGCCTTATTGGGAACAATTACCAAAAAATTTCCAGATCAGATTAACTGAAGCATACTGTATTGATGTCCTACTTTTCTTTGAGGCAAGACAATAATGAAATACTATCTATTCCAAATGATGGAGAAGGAACCAAGGAACTCACCTGATCAAATCCATGTGGCTGTGATCTAAATCATATCTGGCCCCACCCCACATGCTCCAGTTTCCTGGGCATATTAAAAACATAACACATGGATTCATACCTTGTCAGTCACAGTATCACCGGGATCCAAATCTGCTGCATGATTCCCTAGGGCCACTCGAAGCAGGGTATCAAATAAAGGTTTTGCTAATTCTGTTTCCGTCACCTTTGACTGGGAAAGGTGTTCCCTCATTTCACACAATATATTTTCCACAGACAAGCTCTAAGATAAAATGAGAGACTAAGAGTATCAATAACATGCTTAAAAAAAAAACAGTGACAAAATAGATTACAATAAGCAGAAGAAAAATTTATTTGTAATTGATATGAAGGTAAATTGACTATAAAATTTGAGTGCTTATCCAAATATCCTACTTAATATTTAAAAACTTAAATTTTTATCTATAAATATATTGGGTTTTAAATTTCAATGTACTTTAAATTATTTGAATCATAAAAAAATTTGTTCTTTGGAAGCTAGAGAGATAGCTCAATGGTTAGGAGTCCTTACAGAGGACCTAGGATCCATATGGTGGATCCCAGCACCCATATGGTGACTCACAACAGCCTGTAACTCCAGTTCAAGGGAATTCAATGTCCTCTCTTCTGGCATCCTTAGGCAAGAAGCACCTATCTATAGTGCGCAGACATACATACAGGCAAAATACTCATACACATAAGAAAAAAAATAAGTCTTAAAATTTTTACAAAACCATTCTTGGAAACTTCAGAGTTGGGAGGAAGGGGGAAACTGTAGTTGGCATGTAAAATGAACAAAAAAAATGAAATTTCAGACTTAATTATCACTAGAGTTTACTAATTCCTTATTCTTAGAGATCCTCTAAGAGTCTAAGAAGTAGTTCTAATTAAGTTTTTCTTATGCTTTCAGTTCTGCCCTTTGAATGAAGCTGTTACTGTTTGCCTAGATCTCTGTAACAGTGGAAAAAAAACAAAAACAAAAAAAGCTTGCTTTTCTTTTATGGAATTCTAAGTCTAACACGTAAAACAAGTAGGTACAGACCAGATGATGACCATTCCAGAGCCATAAACAAAGGTCAGGGAATATAAGCAGAGTACCTAACAGTATCACAAAGATTGTGAACTTTGAAACTCTAAAACACAACATCCATAAATATTCATTTAAGAATTAATTCACAAACTATCCCAAGGGGCTTTTTGCAGAAAACTAAACAGTAAGGTTCTTTAGAGCTGGATTATGTGAGCCATTGTATCCCTCCATACTTTGTATCCTGGTACACACAAAAGAACTTTGTAAAAACAAAGTAAGTGGCAAATGGGAGGGGGAGGGCCATGAGGCCCCTTCCTTCCCTGTGGATTTAATAGGGAGAAGAGTTTCTGAGGTCCCAGCCCGCTCAGTATTTAGAACGAATTAATGGTTACTGGGGAAGGGGAAGATACTTTTCGCTGTGGTATAACCCACTGGCAAGGAACTCTTGCTTTGGTAAATAACTCTTCATCCAGATTCTTAGAAAAAACCCTAATAAAATGTAATGGGTTACTTATACACACACACTCACTGACACACACACACACACAGAAAGAGAGAGAGAGAGAGAGAGAGAGAGAGAGAGAGAGAGAGAGAGAGACCCAGCTGGGTAGAGGAAGAGGGTGAGTGAAAGTGGGAGGAGAAAAAAGAGAACAGGAAGGGTAAATTGATATAAATACACTGTATACATAAAACTGTTATAATGAGTTTCAGATTTATGTATAATTAATACAAGAAAATAAAATTTAAATATGTAGCAAAATAAGTTGTCAATATTGTTATGACATGTATATAATAATACACTACACATATATGTTACATAAGCTGGACTGAGGATAAAGCATCACCTGAGGAGGTAGCTCCAAATCCATCTTCTGTTGACTGGCTCTGGAGCTATGAAGACAAATGGCCAGGAGGGACTCCAAAAGTCGTATGCTCTGGAGAGAGGTCTCATTGTCTTGATTCATAAATGCCTTTGCTTCCCCAGGAACAGCTTCAGTAACCAAAGTCTGCTCTACATTTGTGGGAAACATGTGCTGTGACTCTAAGTCATTCAAGCTGTCAGCACTCTTTTTCAGATGTCCCAGTTCTGGTGCTGCTGAAGATGACACATCTCCTTCCTTCGATGTCATTTCAGGTTGAGACATTCTGATTAACTCTTGGTTTTCATTTACACTCATTTCTCCCTGCCTTTTTCCTTGTTCCTCATCACGAATTGTGAATAGTTTTTGGATTATCATAAATATTAATTGATGGCACACTCGGAAACCACCAAGTCTGTGAAATTGTTTCTGGAAGACTGAACTCAACATGTAGATCCAACGGCACATAGACCAAATGTCTGCTGCTTGGTGCAAACATTCAGGGGAAGGTAAGATGACGTTCTCAAGAGACAGACACGGTAGCATGTGACTTAATGGTTCACTGGCAGTACTGTCATAGCCAGAAGTATCTTCCGACTCACTGACAGAGTCCCTATCAGAATCTGCTTCTTTACTGACACATAAAAAAGCCACACAGAGAAAGAGGTTTATGGTGTTTATGTGAACATCCTGCTGAACAGTCTTCTGTTTCTTTGGATAAGCTTCTCTGAGACTGGCATAAAACTTACTGAGACTCCGAGGAGAATCTGAAGAAGCTTGCTGCTTACAGAGAGAAGGACTCACACTTAAGGAGGGTAACTCCTGCTCAATGTCTAACCCATTGGCACCTGGAACTGAAGCATCTTTCTGTTGTTCCCCTAGGCTGATAATCAGAGTTTCAAATGCTTTGAGGGAATGACTTCGAATCCCATCTAAGTAATTTAATTCAATTATTTGGTTTACTCCATTACAACTTAAAAACAAATCTCTTATTACCCTGTAAGAGATAGGAAAAATAAAATATTTTATATAACATGGTGAAACATTTGCAAATAGGCACATATGCTATGTAAACATGACACTGCTATGTGTGCTCTATACTGACCACTGCCTACTCTGACTCACTGTCTGAACAGTTCTCTATGTGTGCTCTATACTGACCACTGCCTACTCTGACTCACTGAACAGTTCTAAGATACTGATTAAGATCTCAAGTTATTTTCTAATTGCACTTACATGTTTATATATAGCTCTAGCTATATTTAAAAAGAAATGTTTATATATATATATATAACACATTAAAATAAGTAACTCAAGAAAGAATTTTTTTCTTCAATTTCAATAGTAAATTTCATAGAAATTCTAAATATCATACCACCCCTGATGTGTGTACAGGAGAGCAGGCATACATTTGTTCACTTGCTCACTTGGTTGTCTGTCTAACACTCTGCTCAGACTTTCCATCTGTTTTATACTACACTCTAGGAAAGGAAAGAACCAAACTACAGAGCTGAAAATCTTGGGAAGAAATTCTCTCAACTTGAAGGTTTAGTACCATGTGAGTTTCCTTATAGTTCTCTTCTAATTTGTTGAGTTGATCAAAGTCAGCAGCACAGATATAAAAGATGAATATAGCTTGGCTTGGTAGAATCCATGTCAGGTTTTTTTTTTGTTTTGTTTTGTTTTTTTGAGACAGGGTTTCTCTGTAGCTTTAGAGCCTGTCCTAGAACTAGTTCTTGTAGACCAGGTTGTCCTCGAACTCACAAAGATCTGCCTGCCTCTGCCTCCCGAGTGCTGGGATTAAAGGCGTACACCACCGCCCAGCTCCATGTCAGTTTTAAGGTAGCCATATTACATATGCATTAATTTAAATGGCCAATCTGTCCATTAAGCTTTACTTACACAGTCATTGTAAAGTATCCCATACTTAACAATCTCATGAATTTGAAAGTTTCACTGATAGAAGACAACTTAAACTTTCTTTTTGCCTATCTGTGTTTTCAACTTTGAGTAATAAACGCAACTATGATATTTAAGAAATGATCTCCTCAATGCCACTGACTCGAGAACTAAATATTTCACGTATGTATAAATTATACACTGTTGTAAATACATTAAAATTATTATTATATATTTTACTCATAAAATAAGCATTGTCTTGTTCTAACATGATCTTTATAAACATCTTAATGGTTTATAATATTCTATCTACATAGTAAAACAAAAAAATTAATCTTAACTGACTTTGTTCTGACATCTTCATTCCACACACTTCTTTCCTCAGAAATATATTAAAAACTTTTACCTTTTTTTTCCATTGAGAAGCCAAATATCAACATCTCTAGTCTCTCTTCCTTAACTATCCCCAGAAAAGTAAATTTTAAAATGTTTAAAACATGACATGGGAAGAGTACTTTCTTTGTGGACAAACTAAATCCTTGAAAGCAAAATAGTAACTATGATTATACTGTGGTTGAGGTCCTGGAGACATCAAGGTTAGAAATTTAAACACACACAGACTTTATCTCATATTCAAAGCATTCATCCAACTGTAAAAATGCACAAACCTGCATTTAAGTAGAATAGGCAGAGTTTTTAGATAGATCTGAAGCACTTCCTGAGACAAACACTGTTTCAGTTGGCTACACATATGAGTCTGAACAGAAGTAATGCTTAGTTGTTGGTAATGGTGTACTAATTCAACTCCTCTTTGGAGCACAGGATTAAAAATATAATTATACAATTTCCACTGAACAACTACATTGCCTTTCTGGATCAAATTGCAAATGTGATTTGCAATCTGTATGTTATGCAATCTGTCTTCTTGAAAGACAAAGTTCTGATAAGCTTCCAATGCATTCCATTTCCACAAGAAGTCTTCAGACCCACTGCTGGGCAGGATCCCTTGAAATCTGTACGAAGGACTGGGCAAGCCAGAGAAAGGGCCAGCACCACACAAGGTGCCTTGCAGTGTCTCTTCTAACTTAGCCAGTTGGTCAGAATCCATAGTACAGATGTTACAAGCTGCTTTTTTAATTTTCTGTGAAATCTCTGCTCCTCCTAACTGATCCAGAAGAAGTTTGTTAAGGACATTCAGTATGTGTTGCTGAAAATTCTTCAGTGCTGGCAACTTAAAAGCATGGAGTAAAGGGATAATCACAGACTTAGGATCCATACAACAACAGATTCCGACACTGTGTACACCTGATAGGATCTGGACACAGGTGGTGCTCAGGGAAACCTGCTGCAGCAAGCGTAAGCACTGGTGAGCGCACACTGCAATGCAGCAGCACTGAAGGCGTAAGTCACAAACAATGCCACACCAATTCGGGGTTATGATTATTAGGGTGGTATTTATTTAAAGGGGAAAAAACTTACAGATCACTGTCCCAGGCAACAGCCCTCTTCGCAACCAGGAAAGGAGTCTAGTCGCAGGCGGAGCAGGAAGTGAAGAGAGAGAGAAGAGGGAAGTGGCCGCTTTTTTAAAGGGAGAGAAACCACGCCCCAGTGGGCTGGTACCTCAGCGGTGATAGGCTGGAGGAGTGGGAGGACCTCCCGCAACACCTCCCCCTTTTGTTTAAATAAGAGAGTTCTAAACCTACTATGAAATTATATACAATAAGTACAAATATCCTATTCTAACTAGCTTAGGTCTTGTATAATAAATAACTTGGCCAAGTCATGAGAGAAAGTAACTACATTTATATAGTCTTCAACCCCATCGAAGATCTGAGAAGGGAAATAATGTTACCTGGGTAATTAGGAAGTTCAGTAAAACAACTTCCAAAACATGCAACAAATTACAGAGACAACTAGCTACCTGGGCAATCACCCAAAGTCACATTAGCAGCTTGAAGCAACCAACTTTGGCTAAGGCCTAACATAACTGACATACCATTTTCTAAGGCAAGCAACTTTTCAAAACTATCTTACCCTGTCTTGGCAGGATATGACAGTCCTGTTTTATCCATTGATGCATGCTCTGTATCTTTGTCAGTTGTTGAGGTATGGGCATTTCTTTGCCCAAACGCCAGTTCTGCCAAAAAGAAAGGCTCCAGGTGGAGTGTCTTTGGTGCTCAACATTCTCTCGGGAATAGAGTGGTGTTGCCAGGAGCAATTGTGTCTCACTACCACAAAACTCTGAGTTAGATTAAAGGCCATTTTCTACAGCTCTTTGAAGAAGTTGAAGATTATCTATCTATACTGAGTATAATCTCTATATATCGAAAGAACCTGATTAGTCTATTATAAATGACAAACTTAGATGACTATTAGTCTATATAATTCTCAATATCTATCTAACTTAAAGACTAAGACAATAAACGACTGTGAAACAAATGAGGACAATGACCTCCAAATATAAACAATGTACAAATAAACATTGCAGTAGGTAAATATATATCAATACACAATTATTATATAAGTATCTTAATCAGAGGTAGAAATGTACACTGCAATATGGTAAATATATACAATATATATATATCAATACAATATATGTCAATACATAAAAAAATGTTTTAAACAGAGGTAGAAACATGCATGCGTACAATAGTCAATATAATTTAACTTTGTATCAATATACAAGAATCTATAGCAATGTATTTGTCTAAAAACAGTAACTCACAATTACAAATCTATTATCCCATCATCCCTCTTTTTTTTCTTTCAAAATGATCCCTGAGCGTATAAAATTCCTCCCCCAACCCTCAATCGTATACTAATTATAATCGACCCCTAAATGATGTCCCTAAACCCAAGGGCAAGTTTTATTGGGAAAGGGGACGTCGTCCTCTAGAATTACTTCCAGCTGTCATGGGGGCGACGTTCTTTCTGGGGGATCCTGTGAAAGTGAAATGATGGTTAAATTTCAAGATCAATGTCTTTTAAAATTGCCAATAGTCTCTGAGTATTTTGTGCAGGTCTGGCCAAAATGTTGTATAAGATGTGCACCATTTCAGCTAACCAAGTTGGAACTGTCTTGTGCAGCTGGTACCAAAAGCAGGTCTTGTAGTAGTGCTATCAGTATCATGACGTCATATCAACCAGGTGGAGTTGTTGTTATGGGGCCCCATCTTCTTCCTGGAAACTTCAAATGTCACTTCAGGAAAAACTCATTGTTCATTATGAAAAACTTAAACATTAATCATATAGACATATATAGACATATATATATATATATTCAATGAAAGACATGATAGATATATTCAATGAAAAGTATGATAGATATGAAGAAAAGCAAAGATGTTTTCTAAACTCATATTTCTTTCTGTCCCATATCATGGCTCTTGACATGAGACAGAAACTCCAGAAACTCTGGGTTTTTCTCTTACTAACAGGCTTGGAATTGGAGAGGGACTGAGCCAGAGTCCAACTTCAAAACCAGCTTTATAAATTTAGAAATATGGTTTAATATTACTTACACAATCCATTCAGTTGTCTTGATATTTCCTATTGGGCAGGTATTTTTCCATCTGTCAGTATCCAAACATCCAGGGTCCCTTGAATTTCTCAAAGATGAGTGTTTTCCTGTGGAGATAAGAACAGAACCCTGCCCCCATTCTATGTTTTTCTTACCACCTGTATGAATATCATCATTGTGGATGAGTTGTCATTTCTCCTTTCCAAGAGGTTTCTCCTCTTCAAATCGAAACTTTATTAATTTTGATGGTATCCACAATTTTTCTTCTCCTGTGGAAACAAGAGCAAAACCCCTTCCCCAACGTAGCACATCTCCTGGCTTCCACTGAGAGGTCAGCACATCTTTGAAATAAATCGGTTGATTTAGTTCAGCAGACTTTTCCATTATCCAATGTCTTTCTGCTGCTGTCGTTCCTTTCTCATTAGCGTTAAGAAAATTCAAGGTTAATAAAGCATTATGTAATCTATTTCTGGGGGTATTTTCAGTCCCTTTCTGTTTGTTCAGCATATCCTTTATAGTACGATTTGATCTTTCTATAACTGCCTGACCTGTAGGATTATTTGGTATACCTGTAATGTGTTTTATATTATAATAATCAAAAAAGCGTTTCATTTTCTTAGATACATATGCTGGACCATTATCTGTCTTTATTTGCGCAGGTATACCCATGATGGCCATAACTTCCAATAAATGTGTGATTACTGAATCAGCCTTTTCTGAGCTCAGGGCAGTAGCCCATTGAAAACCTGAATACGTGTCTATGGTGTGGTGTACATATTTTAATTTACCAAATTCCATAAAGTGGAACACATCCATCTGCCAGATTTCATTTCTCTTAGTACCCTTTGGGTTACTCCCTGCAGGCAACGGTGTTTGATTATAGAAAGAACAAGTAGGGCATCTCTTTATAATGTCCTTAGCTTGTTGCCAAGTAATGGAAAATTCTTTCTTTAGGCCTTTACTATTGACATGATGCTTCTTATGAAATTCCGAGGCCTGCAACACACTTCCAATCAATAATTGATCAATCTCAGAATTGCCTTGGGCTAGAGGACCAGGCAGACCTGTATGGGACCGGATGTGTGTTATGTACATCGGACAAAGCCTGTTCCTGATTATGTCTTGTACCTGGATAAACAATGAAGTCAACTCTGTGTCATCTGGTATAAATTCAGCGGTTTCAATATGCAAGATAACTCTTTCTGCATATTGTGAATCTGTAACTATATTAAGAGGTTCTTTAAAATCCCTTAGCACCATAAGAATGGCATATAATTCTGCCTTCTGGACAGAATTATAAGGGCTTTGTTCCACCTTACTCAATTCATCTGACTTGTAACCTGCTTTCCCTGATTTATTTGCATCAGTATAGAACGTACGGGCTCCAGTTATTGGAGCATCACGTACAATTCTAGGAAGAATCCAAGAAGTTCTTTTTATGAGATTAAGTCTATCACTTTTGGGATAGTTGCTATTAATTTCTCCCAAAAAGTTAGCACAAGCTCTTTGCCACGGTTCATTGTCTTCCCATAACTTTTTTATTTCTTCAGTAGTAAAAGGCACTATAATTTCTGCTGGGTCTATACCTGCTAGTTGACGAAGTCTCAGCTTACCTTTTATAATTAATTCAGAGACCTTTTCCACATAAGTTTTTAATTTTTTACTTGGTTTATTAGGTATAAATATCCACTCTAAAATAATATCTTCCCTCTGCATTAGAATCCCTGTAGGAGAAATTCTGGAAGGCAATATGACTAGGATGCAGCTAAGATTTGGGTTCACCCTATCCACATGTGCCTCCTGTAATTTTTCCTCAATCATTGTCAGTTCCTTTTCTGCTTCAGCTGTCAGTTCTCTTGGACTATTCAAATCTTTATCACCATCTAAGGTTTTGTTTAAATGAACTATTAGATCAGGTGTTATCCCAACAGCTGGTCATAGACTGGAAATGTCTCCTAACAATCTTTGGAAGTCATTAAGAGTCTTTAACCGGTCTCTCCTAATTTGTGCCTTTTGCGTTTTAATTTTCTCTAACCCTATTCTGTAACCTAGGTAATTAATAGAATTTCCTCTTTGAATCTTTTCAGGGGCAATTTGTAATCCCCACCTAGGCAAGACTTTCTTTACTTCTTCAAACATCCTTTCTAAAGTATCTTTATTTGAATCAGATAATAAGATGTCATCCATGTAATGATAAATGATGGACTTGGGGAATTGTTTACGAATTATTTCCAATGGCTTACTTACAAAATATTGGCACAGTGTAGGACTATTGAGCATACCCTGTGGGAGGACAGTCCACTGATATCTCCTATTAGGCTGAGAATTATTATAAGTAGGCACTGTGAAGGCAAATTTTTCTCTATCCTTTTCTTGTAACGGTATAGTGAAAAAACAATCTTTCAAATCAATAACTATAAGAGGCCATCCTTTTGGTAACAGAGAAGGCAAAGGAATTCCAGATTGTAGTGGGCCCATAGGTTGAATTAGTTTGTTGACAGCTCTTAGATCTGTCACCATTCTCCATTTACCAGATTTCTTTTTTACAACAAACACAGGAGAATTCCAAGGGCTGGTTGATTCTTCAATATGGTGAGCATCTAGTTGCTCTTGCACCAGCTGTTCCAATGCCTGTAGTTTATCTTCAGCTAGAGGCCATTGTTTGGTCCATATTGGCTTCTCAGTTAGCCATTTTAAAGGTAGGGCCGTTGGTACCTCTAAAGGTTTGGTATTTGCTGTATGTTCTTGTACAGCCTGAATGGCTGGTGACCTTTTTCCATAATACCTCATCATATCCTTCCCAGAATTATGAGTTCCTGGAAATACAGGAATGTTAATCTGGGTATTCCATTGCTGTAGCAGGTCACGGCCCCATAAATTTATGGCAATATTGGCTATATATGGCCTTAGTCTTCCTATTTGCCCTTCGGGCCCTATGCATTCAACCCATCTTGTGCTTTGTTTTACACGAGATAGGGTTCCAATTCCCAGGAACTGAACATCTACCTCTTGAAGAGGCCAATTCGGATGCCAAGATTCTGGGGTAATGATACTTACATCCGCACCTGTGTCTAATAAGCCTTCAATAAAAGTGCCATTTATACAGACTCTTAGCTTTGGTCTTTGATCATTAATAGAAGTCTGCCAAAATATACGTTTACTCTGTCCTATTGGGTTTTTTGACTCATCCTCCACACGTAATTCTTCATTTAGACCAGTATTACTTTTTACAGCAGAAATTGGAGCTTTTAATTTTCTTGGTGAGGCACGTTCTCCACTGTGACTGGGAATGACTGGGCCACTGTTGGCTTGGGGGCCTGCGAGAGGCCCCCCAAGGAGTTTCCCGATGATATCGGATTGCCCGTCTGTCTGTTGTTGACCTACATTCGTTGGACCAATGCCTGCCTTTACCGCATCTCCTACATATACCTGAAGGCCGAGGTCTCCTATTTTTGTCATTCCCAGAAGAGATATTATTCCTAGAAATTCTTTGCCTGCAATTCCTTTGCAAATGTCCTAATTTACCACAATTAAAACACCTGGCAGTTTGATGTCTCCTCATTGCTTTGGAAATCGCTTCTCCTACCCAAGATTCATAATTATAGCTAAACGTCTCAACATTCATCGTATGCTGAATCCATTCATCCATAGGTGCTGATCTAGACTTTAAAGGCCCAATTATCTTTTTGCATTCTATGTTTGCATTCTCAAAAGCTAGAGATTCAAGAAGTATTCGTCTAGCTTCTGGCTCTGTTACCCCTATGTCCAGAGCCTTAATTAATCTTTGCAAAAAGTCAATAAAGGGTTCTCTCTGTCCCTGCCTAATTCTGGTATATGATTCAACCCTTTTTGCTGGATCTTGTATCCTATTCCAAGCATTTAAAGCTGCTTGGTGACATAGACACAGTACTTCATCGTCATAAAGAGCTTGGACCTGTGGATCAGCATATTCTCCTGCACCAAGAATTTGATCTTGGGAAACCTCAATACCTTTTGCTCTTCCTTGCTGTTCCATATGTTTGGATTCTTCTCTGAAATAAATTCCAAACATCAAGGAAGGTCCATTATCTAAAACTGCAGACACTAACTGATGGAAATCATGGGGAGTAGCTCTAGCATTAGAAGCCCAAGTCCTTATCATTTCCTTTACATATGCATTGTGCAAGCCAAAATTAACAACAGCTTGCTTAATTTCTTTCAGATCATTCATTGCTATTGGCATCCATCTAGCTTCTCTGACTCCCTTTGAGCCTTTAGAAGTTGATGCTTTTTCAGAATTAAGTATAGGGTATGTCGCTAGAACCCTGGGTAAGCCAGTTCTAATAGCTGGTGGAGGCCTTGTATCCTGTCCTTGTGCCTCCTTCCTCTGTTCACCAGCTGCAATAATTTCCCCAATCTTTTCAAATCTTTTTATCATTGTCTCTCTTAAATCCTGAATCTCCTGACCTGTATATATTTCCAGTGATTTCACTGAGGTATCAATTTTTTGGTCCCCATTCTGCACCTGTGATTCCAAAGCTTTAATTTTTTCCTTCAAAGATAACATGTCCTCCTTAAACTTTTCTTGTATATCATGTAGATTCCCATCTTGGAGGTACATTCTGTCTGTTACCTTATCAAAACTTTGTGATAAAGTCTGAACGTCAAATTCAACAGCCTGAACCCTTTCAGGTAACTTTCTAATACCCTTGGATATGGAATCAATTTTGTCTGTCATAGTATCCACTTGTTCAGATAACCTCTGATTTTCAATAATTTTAATCCTGTCAATTAGTTGTTCATTATTAGTTCATAAAGATTCTATCATTCTTAGGAGTGCCATATTCTTCTGTTCATTATTAGTACGTAAAGATTCAATCGTTCTTAGTAGTGCCATATTCTTCCTTAATGATAGAATATGGAAAAGAAAACTGAAGGCTAGTAACAAGCAAATTAAGGTATCCCCATAATCATATAAACCTTGTATGATGTAATTCATTGTATTAGTAAATATAAATTTACTAATCCATTGTATTAGTGAAAACAAAGCAGTAAAATTTGCGTTAGAAACAAAAACTGCCATATTACCTATTATCCAGCAGGTAGCGCTGTTGCAGAGTCACGGTGAAAACATGGTCCTGTTTCAGTGCCTTAGTAGATGTTAAAAACTGGAAAATGCAAGTTTCTCAACAAAGTAACTGTAATTAAATCAATTCCTGAGACGGAACCAGAAACCCAGAATCCAGGGGTAGAGAAGAGCAATCTGGAAGCCGCTTATGCCTCCATGAGTCACCCTGAGGGGTTGCAGCTTTCAGCAACCACGTGCTCTGGTTCGTGCCACTTAAGAGCTGTACTTGCAAGGGAGATTTAAAAATGACTCAGAAAAGAGCAAACCACACGGCTAGAGACTACGCGGGCCTGTGGAGTTTAAATCCACGTGGGGAGTCCAAGGCCGCTGGCGGCTGAGGAAGGGGAGGGCTCCCGCCAAGCCGAACTAGAGCCCGCCAAGCCCGCGGCCGCCAAGCTGAACTTGCACCCGCCAAGCCCGCAGCCGCCAAGCCGAACTCGCGGCTGCGAGTGGGGAAAGGAGAGGTTCTAAAACCAAACGTTGGGTGCCAAAATGAAGGCGTAAGTCACAAACAATGCCACACCAATTCGGGGTTATGATTATTAGGGTGGTATTTATTTAAAGGGGAAAATACTTACAGATCACTGTCCCAGGCAACAGCCCTCTTCGCAACCAGGAAAGGAGTCTAGTCGCAGGCGGAGCAGGAAGTGAAGAGAGAGAGAAGAGGGAAGTGGCCGCTTTTTTAAAGGGAGAGAAACCACGCCCCAGTGGGCTGGTACCTCAGCGGTGATAGGCTGGAGGAGTGGGAGGACCTCCCGCAACACAGCACCTCTCGGGATACTGCACATCTCCCTCTGCAGTCTCTTCGAAGGGGCTTTTAGAAAGCTGGTTTTTAAAAGCTGAAACGAGGAGACCTGAGAGATCACGGTGGTGCTGCATGAAATGGGAATACTCACAGCGCCGGTGCCGTTTCCTCGTGCACATGGAATGATGAAGTTGCTCTGATTTTACCTTTTTGACAGTACTTATTATTTTCACTACACTGTTGATCAAGGTTTTCAAATGTTCGGCAGCCCCTGAGGGAACACCGTCCCTTGAAAGCAGCCATTCCATCTGAAGAACTGCTGTTTCAAACAGATTAAATCCTTGGTGCTGAATAAATTCTTGAACTAAATCCATGGCTTGACTGAAGTAAAAGGGATTTGAAGCTGCACTCTGAAGACAAGAGATAAGGAGCTGTAGAACTCCTTCCAGAAGCTCGGGGAGAAGAAGGGCTCTATGACGATACTTGGAAAATATAAAGCCCTCCTGGACCTCCTGTAGTGTTTTCTTTTGTCTTGGTGAGAAAGGGTCAGGCTGCTTTTCCAAGCAAGCTCTAATTTTTAAAGCTGCCCTAAGCAATTCAGTCAAGTTTTTTTCTAAGACTTTCTGGCATTGCCTCTGCTGTGCTAACATCTACTGACATAAGATGCACCACAGTTCGAAAGAGCATCCGTTGAACCAAAGCCACTGGCTCTTCAGTCCAACCTGTAGAAACCACTTGTCTCTCCAAAGTGTCACTCTAGTTACAGCAGTCCCCAAAGCCTGCTAGAAACTCAGTCAGCGTGGGTACTACACTGGCTGCTAGAGAAGAATTATGATTCAAAGCAATGTCAAACTTACAGACTTTCTCCAATAGCGATAACAGAACATGACATAAGTCAAAGGGAGAGTTATTCATGTTACTGAGAATAGACAAGGCAGCTGGCTCACTTAATATGTCGCCATTTGAATCCTGTCTTGGGATGATTTCTCTGGAGTTTTCCAAAGTCATGGTGTCAGAAAGGATCTGTTCTTTGGTTGCAGAGGGGACAAGTTTGGCGAGGAGGTGGTCTTCCTTAGGAGACTGCGTCAGGATCCGGGGTAGCACATGGGACCTCCTGTGCTTACTCACAACTGTACTTTTCTCATCTGAGTTGACTTCAGAGTCAGAGGTGGAGAGCTGTGTCTTTCTTGCATCTCTTACAGAGTAGCGGTGGGTACTTTTACGCTGTCGTCTGCTTTTTTGAAAAAGGTTTACTTTTGCAGAGATTGAACCAGGAGGAGCACTTCCTTCTAAATATAATTTTCCCTGAGTTGATTTTTGCAAACTTGAGTTCTTTTCTTTGGTCAGGATTATATCAGATGACAACGGCAAGTTAAAATCTAATAAAATCAAGAAATACACTTAGAATATGTCAGTACCCAACAGGTGTGACTACAAAGCCTGACCAAGGGAGTAGTTACTTTTGTTTTGGACATTAAGATGGCCCATAGAAGTGATTCACTCCACCCTGACCAAAGATCAGAGAATTTAAGCATACTCCTGCTTATTCATTTAAAATAAGAAGTTTGGCATAGGGAGTGACTGCCTACAGGATACTTGGTCTAGGGAATGTTCACTGTATATCCTGCCCAAGACATCAAATGTTTTACTCAGGAAATAATGGCTTGATGTCTCAAGTATTGAAGTAACTGTTCTGATTGTCTTTTGTGTCATGTTAAAGCAGTCTTTTGCCTTCTTTCCCCCCTTTTGTATTGGGGAATAAAAGTGTATGAAAAAAAAGAATATGTCAGTACCCGTTAAGCTCAACATGTATGGGCAATGACTCTTACAACCCACATTATGAGTCTGGCCTGGTATAATTTTCCTGCAAGTCTGCTTTCCCTAGTTACATCTCTGGGTCACTTCCGCCCACACTTATCCTTCCTACTCTCTATACCAGGTGGTAATAGCTCAAGAGATACAACTTGATTTTGAGGATGGCAAAGAGAAAAATTAGGAAATTGGACATGAGTTGAACCTACTGCATTCTAATTTCTAAATATGAGCTTGAACTATCCAGCTGCTGTGCTCACCACTTACAAACCTTTAGTGATGCTGTAATTAAGACATAGTGTTAGTCTGTGGCTTCTCAGAACTTCAATATTCACCCAAATGAACTCAAAAATCATATAGTATATATCAAGTATTCATCATGACTATGGTTAAAAGAGTTGTTCAAGCAAAGTATTTCTCTAGGGCCTTGTTCTCTGAACTAGCCAAATGTAGAGAGATCAGCAGTCCATCCTAAGTCCCCAGAGCTTGGGGCAGCATTCAATGGCCATTTCTTAGGGAAAGGATCTAATTAAATGAATCTTTCTCTTTGTAGCAATATGTGCTAAAATGCACAGAAAACAGAGTTGTAATTTAGGAGGACTAAATAAAAACCCATTAGTAGAATTTTGCACTTTACCTAGGAGAAGGAAAATAAAGCAAATGAGAACAAATGTTAAAAGAGACCAATTGCACAGAAATATAAAATGCCATCAATGAAGGCAACTTCCCTAAAATGGCAGTAATCAACTCTTAAGTGGTTAACAAACTTCTAATTCTGCAAACTCAAAAAAAGAGTAGTTAATGAATCAATAAATAATCAGGAAAATAACATTAGAAGTCTTTAAATATTTTCCTTAAAAGAGTTCTATGTCAAATATGTATTAAAATATAAACACAGCATTAAAATATAATACGGAAGACTATTTTTAACCCAGGAGATTCATAAAGTATTCCAGAAATGATCCAGGGGAAAACCAGTTTATCCTTCCAATGAAATTTAATGTACTTATAAATGCATATTTTTCAAAATAAGAAATTAAAATGTATTGATCTCATGTCATAATTCTACTTAGCCTAGAAACAAACTATGACTTCCAATTTATCCCTCAAAAGCAAAATTAGAAAAACTGAACTAAAGCAAATATTGCAGAAGTCACTTTTAGAGTACTGGTGATAGCCGTCCTTAAGCAATGGGCTTTAATTCCTTTCTTCAAACTCTTCACCACCCATTTTCCTAACGCTATGGCATATCTAGCAACTCCATTAGGTAAGTATTCTGCTTCTTCGGGTATTTGTAATTGTCATTTATGGACGTCTCTCAGAAGCACCATGGACTTTTATATTACTGGAAGAAGAAAAATTGTGCTTTCCTAATGAATTTTTCATACTAGGTATATAATAAATCACCACAATATCTACTACTCTGAAACTGCATTAACCAATCAGGAAGAGGTAGCTTTGCAAATAAACTTCTTTTCCCAAAGGGATATGACAATGCAAGCAATCTGTGAAGAGGGACATACCTGTTGCTTGCTGTTCCTGGACAGGTATCTTCCACACCAAGGGAAGGAGTGACAGAAGAAGTGTCAGGAGTTCTTCTCTACATGTCAGGGCCTGGGTCAGAAGCAAAAGAGTCTTTCATGTTCTAAGGGCCCAAGACACATTCACTCCTATTTATCTTGTATTCAACCGAACCAAAAACAATTTTTATCCTTAAAAACAATTACATTTGAAAAACTGAAGATCAAATCATCCTATTTTAAGTCCAAGTCAAACTGTGGATACTTTTGAATTTATAAGATTTCCAACCACAGAAGAATGTAAGATTGTGTGATGGTATTTAGCACATCCTTGCTAACATTCCCACGAAGAGCTATTACTGCTATCATGCACATTGCAAGAATTCATCACCTATGAAAAAACAGACTTGTTAAGTAAAAATAAAAAACTAAAGCCTTTAAGTTAGTAAACTAACAAGGTTACTAGGAAAAAAGTAAGTCTCCGTGTAGCTAAATGTAAAACTTAGAAGACAATTTTAAAAAGAGAAAGCAACAATAATAACACATATAAAAAATTTATCAGTGAAGATAATTAAGTATACTGACTGAACACTCTATTCAAGTATTCTATTATATTAGTCTTTCTGAAGTAGACAGTCCATGTTGTTCCCTTTATTGGTCCATAAAATACATACACACAAACAGAACAACAGAAGGCATGTAGTATCAGTAAGTTTCCCAGTAAGAAACAGAACCCTAGTATGGAAATAGTATTCAGAAAAAAAAAATAATCATCTGAAATGTTGAAGTAGGATTGCAACGAGACAGCTACTCCTGGGATACCTGGGACATGTGGTTGAGTATTTAATGAACAGTTAATCCAGGAGTTATTCCTTCTCACAACAATCTTTGAGGAGGGGATCAGGATGACATGAATAGATTTGCTGGGCAGAACTGTGGTAAATGGGAACAGCCAATGTTAGCAGCAAGATCACATGGCCCATATATGAGATGATGACTAAGTAACTTGACAACAAATAAACACAGAGACATATGAGAAACTATATGGTAGAACTGAACTGACTCACAGTTCATTTTCAATGATGCACAAAGAAGAAAAAGACTCCTCACAGGTCTCTCGTTTAAGTAACGAGGTGGCTAATAATATTTCCACAAAGAGAGAAAAGTCTAAGAGGGGTAATAGGTTAGAGTAAAGACAGACTGCCTTAATTTTTTAAAATTATATTTAGTGTGCATGTGCTATTAGGCTGAGCAGTGAATTACCTGATGAGACATTTCATTGACCCAGATTCATTTTTTTAGACATATGCAATTTGAGATGCTGGGAAGATGTCTAAATGGAGACCACTTTTAATAGACAGATAATATACAGACTGGGAACTTAAGATATAAAAGTCATCTGGGTGGATACCTAGGACATATATAAGGTTTTCCGGAGAGCAAGCAGAATAATGAGAAAGAACTGATAACACTGGTATTCAGAGCTCCAAAAGTCTTTAAGGTGGGCAGTGCTGAAGTAAGTCTGTTGAGCAGATTGACAGACAATTGCAGCGAGAGGCAGAACCAGAGAAACCACAGATGAGAACAGTGAAAGAAAAGGCATTAAACAGGATGAAAGCCGTCATTTCTGAACTATATAAAATGATGGCTGAAAAGCCTTTAGCAACTGAAGGGTGCTGGTAACATTCACAATCACAGCTTTAGTGGAGTGATAATGGAATGAACAGAAAGTCCCTGTTACAGCAGGCTGAAGAGTCAAGGGAATTAAAGATTCCCAGTCTCAAATAAAGTAAAAACTTGTTAGCTCATTAACCTTTTGAGTCCTCCTAATGTGAGTCTTTAGTGAATTCTAATGGAACAGGCACACTGTCCTGGTGAGTCCTTGCTCTATAGCAGTATACTGACAAATCTCACCATTATGTGAACAGACATTCCTGCCTTCACATGATCTGGAACATCCCTAATACCATCCTACCATGTAAGGCCTAGCTCCAGCAATATCTGCTCTGTGAGGCTCACTACCTACTTCTTCCTGAAAAACTTCTCTAACCCCTCAGGATTTTAATGCCTGTTGTCCCCAGTTCACTATGCAGACTTATAGACAAGCTCTTGAAAGGATGAGATGAGAGCAAGTACAGATCTTTGGGGTTTGACCCTGCTATGCTAAAACAGCAGTCCTAGGTGGGGAGGAGGAATACATTGGCAGCTTAATGCAACAACTCTTCACTTAATACTCAATTGCTCTAACACAACTCGTTATCGAGGAAGCGCTCCCTAACAATATCAACAACAATTTTGTTGTTGTATGTGTTTGCGTGTGTGCACGCCATAATGTTTGTGTGCATGTTTCTCTCCTTCCACCCCAGAACATGAGTTCTAGGGGTCAAATCCAGCACACTAGGCTTCTATAGCAATCACCTTTACCCACTGAGCCATCTCAGTGGCCCTGATTCTATTACTATTTATTTATTTATTTATAGTTTTTCAAGGCAGGGTTTATCTGTGTAACAACCCTAGCTGTCCTAGAACTAGCTCTGAAGACCAGGCTAGCCTCAAATTCACAGAGGTATGCCTGTCTCTGCCACCTGAGTGCTGGATTGAAGGTTGTGCCACCACCACCCAGCTCTATTACTTTTAAAGTACCATATATTCCTATTTTTTTTAATCCTTTCTGGTTTTCAGAGAAACTTCACATGTAATTCTGTCTTTGAGACCCATAAATAATTTTTTTATTTGTAGGCACTCTGGAAAAGCAGGGCTTAGTTATTTCAAATAAATCCCTCTAGTTTTATCTCCCCAAATCTAAAGTATGCATAATAGTTACAGTACCTAGAAATGAGGTTGTTCCCTCATGTCAGATCCACACACACTACATCAAGCAATACAGGCCATGTACAGAACCATTCTCTGGTTTTCTAGTGACCTGACATTTAGAAATATCGTACCTTCCCTTGATACTTACTGTTTTGTCTTCATTTCTAAAAGAGAAAAAGGCTAGATCATGCCTTTTAATTTTCCCCTACAAGCCGGGCGATGGTGGCGCACACCTTTAAGCCCAGCACTCGGGAGGCAGAGGCAGGCGGATTTCTGGGAGTTCGAGACCAGCCTGGTCTACAGAGCTAGTTCCAGGACAGGCTCCAAAGCCACAGAGAAACCCTGTCTCGAAAAACAAAAAAAAAATCCCCTACAATAATAAATAATGAAATCATTCTCACTGAAGTGTCACTTTCTCAGCTCAGTTCAAGAAACACGTTACAAGTGCTTGGCAAATACCAGGCACAGTTCTTTTTATGCTAGGCATCCAGGAGTGGTAGTGACTGGAGGAAAAGGAAAAACTAGTGAGTCAGGGAAAGGCTGAGATCCCAGCCCAGACACATTTCTAGGAGGCTCAAAGGTAGGCATCAGTGGGGACCTGGTCATGGACTGTTTGACATATCAAGGAACATGGACTATAGCTAGAAAGTAATTCAGAGTTACTGAAGTTACCAATGGTATTACAAATGAATGTCTTTGCATACTAACTAAATTTAATTTTACAAATGTAAAAAAAACATATGATACCAGCATGTGAACACACTGCTAGTCTTCATTTCTTCTCTAAGAATTTATTCTATTGTATGGTATGATACATCTAAAAAAGTTTCTTCATTGGGACTATCTAATCTTTTTTCCATCCCAACTGAATAGATACAGAGCTAAAGAAAACATGTAAGTCTGTACTGTTTTTTTAAGCTTTGCTAAAAAGATTTCCTATTGATTGTTTTTATTTCTGTACACATCGCTTTGAGTATAGTATTTTTTTTTTTTTGAGACAGTGTTTCACTGCAGCTATTGAGCCTGTCCTGGAACTAGCTCTTATAGATCAGGCTGGCCTCAAACTCACGGATATCTGCCTGCCTCTGCCTCCCAAGTGCTGGGATTAAAGGCATGCACCACCACTGCCTGGCTTTCACATCACTTTGAAAAACAGTACTTTTACTTCTCCATTTATATATCATTATGTTTTGTTTGCTATTTGCTTTATACAGGGCTTTACTATGGCAGCCCAGACTGATTTCAAACTTGAACTCACAATGATCCTTCTATATTTGTATTCCATGTGCTAGAATTATAGGTATGTGCTATCACCCTCAAAACTGTCATTACACTTTAAAATTCCACTTAACTAATGCATTTCTTTAAAAGCAAGGTATTGCCAGGCATAAATTGCCAAGACTTGGAAGGTAGAGGCAGGAGAATCTCTGAATTCAAGGCCAGCCTAGACTATATAGCAAGTTCCAGGACAGCTAGGACTAACTACATAGAGACACCTGTCTCAAAAGAAAAAAAAAAAACCTCAGTAAGAGTACAGAAAAGTCTGTCTCAAAATCAGATTTATATATAATGGCTTTAGTAATATAGAGGTAATTCCACTAAGATTCATATGAAACCCACATTCCAAAGAAAGTTATACTTTTAAGAAAACTATGAGAGGAGAGAGAAAAGAGTAAAGGAATATGGGGGAATATATTCAACATACAATATATACTTGTATGAAAAAAATTTTAGAGGATGGAAATACTACCAGCTTCACCTAAAAGTGTGAAGGAAGGCAAAAAATGAAGAAGTCTCTGTTCCCCAACCCTAGTTAAAAAAAAAATCAATCTGTTCTTAGTGCATGAAGCCAAGAGTCCTGGAGACCAAGAATTAATGAACTATTCATGTAGAATAAAAATATTTCACGCACTCAGAATGGGTGGAAACCTACAAACCCAATCAGGCCCTACCGTGTGTGTGTGTGTGTGTGTGTGTGTGTGTGTGTGTGTGTGTGTGAGAGAGAGAGAGAGAGAGAAAGAGAGAGACAGAGAGAGAGAGAGAGAGAGAGAGAGAGAGAGAGAGAGAGAGAAACAAAGAATGGGCAAAAAGAATGGACAACACTCTTCAAGCCTCAGTAATAAACACAGCCACAAAACCCTGCCCACCTCCCGTTGGGGAGGAGCAGGAAGAAGGGGGACTCCTGTCAAAAGGGCTCTTCAGCTGTGTGACTTGGGGTGTGATTAGACCCTTACCAGACCTTCCTGATCACCCCTACCCTGGCTCATCCGGCCTCATTCCGGAACCCGGCGGCACCCACACGCCCCGAAGAATGGAAGGCGCACCTTGGTGAGCGCGAGCGGTCGCAGGGCCTAGGCCAGGCCCAGGGCATTCGCCTCCCGGGAGTAGCGCTGCGCGGCCCCCACGCATGCATTATTCTACCAGCCATGCGGCGCAACAGGACTAGCTACATTTTTAGAAAGATTATTTCCTTGAGCAAACTCATATGACACCCCTCAACTGCCCCCTTCCCAACAGGAGAAAAAAAAACTATTTCCTGCAACCACTCCAAGAGTTTCCAACTTGGGGGAATGCCATTTCAGTACAGGGAAGGGGGTTGAAGCTGGTCACTAGAGTCGAGGACATTTGGGGTTGTTTAAACCTAAAAAAATTAAGTAAATAAATCAGACCTCCTCCCGAAATTGCTCGCAGGGAAAGAAGCCCAAAAATACATGCCAAGTGCATGCAAAGCCACCAAAAAAAAAAAAAAAAAAAAAAAGCTCCCAGAGATCAGGGCAAAAACTTCTGCGCACGGGAGCCAGTGCCAACTCCCCTCGCCCTCTGCCCGGCCCCAGCAGCTACCTTGGTGACCAGGGAGCCACGCCGGTTTGGGGGAGCAGGACCAGCAGAGGGGTTAGCAGCCGCTGGGCAATCCCATATCCGCGAAGAGGGAGCTCGTTCCGTTAGGATGGGAGAGAAACACCCACACCTCCTCTGGCGTGCGCTTTCTTTCTCTCCACCCCCTGCCTCCTCCTCGTCCTCCTCCACCACCACCTCCTCCTCTCCTCCCACCCCAGCAGGCTTGAGGAAAAGCTTCAGCAGAACATCCACATGGTTACTGCACTTTGAAGCGGCGCCCGGCTGCTTATATAGGCCGGGAAGCTCCCTGGGCAATGTAGTCCGAGTCCCAGGTCGTGCCGGCGCCTGGGGCTGTGGAAAAGGACTAGAGTCCCAGAAGCCCCTAAACTCTGGGGCTGGGTTCTAAATAGACGCCCGCGCGCGCCCGCGCGCGGAGACGGGGGAGGGGCGTCCAGCGGGACCGCCCGGCTGGCGAAACTGAGTCTGAACAGCCGACTTGCCAGGTTTGGAAAACGCGACCCACAGTCACCCCAAAGGTATCTCCTAGCCCTGTGAACCATTCTCTTTGCCTGTCATATCTTCCCTTTCCTAAAATCCAGGTGTCACTAGGGGCCGGAGAGAGGGGAAGAGCTCGGATTACTCTTTTGGGAAGTTTTTACAAGCTTCCGCGCGCGCGCCCTGTGTCCTGGAGCCAAGAATTTCAGAAATCCGAGGCACAAAAACAGTGTTTGCGGTCAAGGATTAACGAAGCGAGTTTGTCTTTGTCTACAACGTATTCATTCCACAAACGTTACCCAAGTGTCATCTGGTGCCAGGCCAGGAACTGTGCCAGGGTAGGAGGGCGCGCCAAAATATAACATCCTAAGCAGGGTCTGGCTGCTCCCGCTAAAGACCTGCTACTAACAGTAATCCTTGTAATGTTAACAAATGCTTCTACTGAGCTCAGCCTGCATGCATTTCCTACGAGTCATGTTATTGAGTTTTACCAACTCTGGGTTTGTTCTATCTGCATGGCAGGTGCATGGCTCCGGACCAGGAGAAACCAGGTTAACTTCGGTCTCCATTGCAGCCCAAGCCTGTACCTATACTAAGCACTTGCTTTTAGGGACCTCCATTACCATTTCCTTAAAAAAAAAAAAACAAAAAAAAAAAAACAACTTAAGAACATAGCAATAGCATTGCTCAAATATTCTAACGCAATTGTAAGAGGCATTTGTTTTTCAGTTCACAATTATTTTCACTTCCCAACCACAGAAAGTATAAGACATAATAAAGTTGTTGACACATGGCTGGCACTCAGTATTTGCTCATTATATGAATAAACAAGTCAAATTTAATTAGTTCATCCACATAGAAAGAGATGTATGTGGGTATTTAAGAAAGTTAATACTAGTCCCACCCTACACTGATTCTACTCTGGAAAACTGTGGAAGACCAATTTTCATTCTGTTATGTGACAGCTAAGTGTCTTACTCTAGTATTGCTTGAAGCTCTGAGAGGAAAGTGTGTGTGTGTGTGTGTGTGTGTGTGTGTGTGTATACATATATATGATAGATCATATTCAACTACAACAGAAAGTTGTCAATTGAAGAATTCTGTTCTTAAAATACAAAATAGTTGTGTTTTGAAAGCTGATCTATATACCTATCCCTTTTTAAATTATGTTTCATTTTTCCGTTTTGATTAGAACTCAGTTTCATAGCATCCTTTGGTGCCAGCATGAGGAGTTAGGGTCAAATAAATTTCCGATTTGTGGGCTAATGAAAGTCTTGGCACATCCACTGTGACCTTTCTCTTTGCTCTGGAGTTCTCATTAACAGGGCTGGAGGTTGTGGCAGGATTCAACATCCTATATTATTTTTTCTACCCAGGAGATATCAACATTTATAGTCACTCAGCAGGTGACTATAAAAACACAAATCAGATGCAAACAGAGTCATCTTTGATCTTTTCAACTTGATCTATTCCTTCTTTATCAACAGAAAAGGGACACAATATCACCATACACTCACCCATCACTAGCTTCTGAAGTCTGGGGTTCCTGCTCTGGTAAGTGCAATAAGCTGATCAATTCAACAAGAAAGCTTTGTGGGAGCCTAGGCAGTTTGGATGCTCAACTTACTAGACCTGGATGGAGGTGGGGGTTCCTTGGACTTCCCACAGGACAGGGAACCCTGATTGCTTTTCGGGCTGAGGGGGGGGGGGACTTAATTGGGGGAGGGGGAGGGAAATGGGAGGCGGTGGCGGGGAAGAGACAGAAATCTTTAATAAATAAATAAATTTAAAAAAAAGAAAGATTTGGGCCTTTATACTCTTCTGCTGACGAAATTGCTTTAAAAACATGAAAAGAAATTTGGGTCATGCAGATATGTGCTCGATGCTGTAGACAGAGATTTTCTGTCAGCATTCACTCCGAAATAACCACATGGAAACTTGTTAATTACAAATGCTCAGTCAATACCTCAGACTTATTAACTTATTACTAACTAGCTCTTGTACCTTAAATTAACCCATTTCTTTTTCTTTTTTTTTTTTTCATTTATTGAGACAAGGTTTCTCTGTAGCTTTGGAGTCTGTCCTGGAACTCACTCTGTAGACCACACTGGCCTCAAACTCACAGAGATCCACCTGCCTCTGCCTCCCAAGTGTTGGGATTAAAGACTTGCACCACCACCACCTGGCTAAATTAACCCATTTCTATTAACCTCTGTATTGCCATATGGCTCCTGCCTTTACCTGCCCTGAGCATGTCTTGTTTCCTGGTTACTCCTCTGACTCCACCCTTCTTCTTCCCAGTGTCCTTAGTCTGGTTCTCCCACCTTGCCTCATCCGGTCCAGCTATTGGCCAGTCTGCTTCGTTATTCAACCACTCACAGAGACAAATCTTTACAATGTACAAAGGGATCATTCCACAGCACAGTGAAGACTCCTTTTCTTTAAAAGGCATTCTAAGTCAAGTCTACAGGCTATTTTAACTCAGCCTTTGGACCAGAAGAAACTCATAATTGAGATGGTTCGTAAGTAAAGGTGCTTTCACAAGCCTGGCACCCTGAACTCAATCCACAGATCCACAGAAAGCTGGAAAGAGAAAGAACTCCTTTACAGGTCTGTTCTCTTACCTCCACACATACACCCACACACTCATATCATCACACGTGTGTGTGCGCAGGCACATACATGCACACACGTATACATGCAATTTTTAAAAAAAGACTCTCAAATGTTTGCCTCAAAGCACCATGTAAAAATCAATAAGCAGTCATTTAAAAACAATGGACCCTGTAATATACTCTATTAAATTATGAGGTAAAAGAGCGCAAAATTTAAAATCAGAAGTATATAGATATCAGTTGCAGTTGATTAACTGAGCAACTGTTGCCAATACATTTAACCTCTTTATCCGTCGAGTTGGTGTTTCTCCTCTAGAGAACCTGACTAAAATCTGAGATTGAAGATGAAACCCAGCCCCCATCGATGCATGTGTTTGAGCACTTGGTCCCCAGCTGATGTCACTATTTGGGGAGATTGTAGAACCTTTAAGAAGGAAATCCTGACTGAAGGAAGTGGGTTATTCGGGGCAGGCCTTGAGGTTTTACCCATACTAGAAAGCCGTGTATGCCACTCCCAAAGTTTCTGTTGCAGGTTTGTGTTGCCATGGTAAAGGAATGTGTCCCTTTAATAAGAAGTTCCTGCTTCTAAGCAGTCACAACACAATTAGTCTAGAATGGTATGTATATGTATAAAACCATAATTAGGTAACTTGGCACCGACTTATGGCTACAGGCGATATTTTGCTGAATTCTTTTAGGATTACTCCTAGTTCATTGCAAATTTTAAAATAGAGAACAAAGATAATATGTGCCACACACAAATTGTAGGAAATACAAGTCAACTTTGAGGTACATGTGCCGCTGAGTCTCTCCAGTTGGCCCTCCAGGACAGGAAGGTAGGCATGCTGCCCAAACCTCACCTACAGAAGTGAGCTCTAAGGTTGCCTGTTGGGGTTGTAGTGTCTAGTCCCTGGAAGGCTTCAAACAGAAGCCAAACAACCATCCCCAGGAATTATTGCAGCAGAGAGTTTTTATTTTGTTATATCAACTTACATCATCTTTGATGTTCAAAGCTAGTCTTCATATCTAGGTGGCAAGTTTGTGTGACCACTACTCTAACTACTAAAGTGATAACACTTGGTAAACCTAACTGAATATTTCAAGATTCAAGTGAGTAATTCCAGACTATATAAATTCTCTGAGAATACAGATAATAACATTTCCATGGTCTGAATACAGTTTTTGCCTTAAAGGTTTTGTTTTTACCCAAAACAGTCATTTTAAACTTTGATAACCAATTTAAAAGATGTAGGATACAATTATTCTCATCCACTGCTAATTTAAAGATTGTGATGGGAAATTAGGAGCCTTCAAAAATAATCTCTTTTGGCTCGGTAACTTCAGAGTTCATTCCGCCTGACCTTTTCCTAGTACTAAGCAAAAGCATATGCAAAGAATGTGCATATACAAAAATTCAATTGGAAGCTATTTGTGCTTGTTAGAATTTCAAAACAACCTTAAGGTTTAAAATTAAAACATT